GTAAATTGAATAAACGGCTTTTTAATTTATACCTTGGGTAGGTGCTAGCACCTTCCAACTCAAATAGACCTGTCTAATTAGTCTAGACACATTGACAAAGTGAAATTTGGACGTTTAATAGTGCCAATCCAGGAATCTGCATGATCCAACTGGGAGATTTTATGTTTCATTTTCATAATCAATCCATACTCAAGTCTGTCCAATTTAGAAACTTCCGGAAATTGGCCGATCATATTTCTACGGTTAGTCCTTCCTGTTTGTACATCAATCTCTCTCTCTCTCTATATTTTATAAGGTGGGATGTGCGATAGACTTATCTCCACGTGGTGCACCCTGGGCAACGTATACTCATTCGGCTAAAAGTCTAATAACTGCTCTTGACTTCTGACGCAAAACTACCACCACCCCACTGTATATCATATTCGACTACTTGCACAGTACTCACCTCACCATTTTCTACCCTCGTGTCTGCCTCTTTTACATCATTGAAACTCTCGTTTGTTCCTGCTTCCCTCTCGACTTTTTTCACTTTGATGTTCCTTCCCCTCGGTGAAGCCTGAAGTCAAGTGAAGGGCTAATGATAACTATCAAAACGCCTGACATTTGATATAAATAAATATTTTATTGCGCAATACCATCTACATCCCTTCCTTTTAATCCAGTGTGCTACTGACTTCGAAAAACTTGGCAACCCTAATTGAATATTTGCATGCATATCACGGACTTGCCGTCTCGATTAATGATAGAGTATTCACTTGTCCACATTGAGATTGAAGAAATGCAATAATTTAACATTGAAAATAATATCTGATTCTTATCATTCATATGCAACCGATTGTTAAAGTACACTAAGTCAATTCAGATAAGGTATAGATAGTACTACACCCTTCTTGCTGATATATTACTTTAGTGCCTGCCGTTAAATAATTTATTTCTTTCAGAGACGGTGATGAATGAGGCAGTGAATTCATATAGATTAGGCCAAAAACATGGAATTAGAGCAATTTGTCGTGAGTAGTAACAGATGCCCAAGTAAATGAAGGTTCTATTATCATAGTAATATGGCGATATAATATAGTTATAATTATATATTGTAGTGTGAGGAATTTGAGGAATGGAGTTCAAAAAAAATATCTATTAAGATTAGCATCATTTTGATACAACTGAATTTGAATTAAAGAAACCGTGTTTACTTCTACTCACTTTAAAGCTCCTTAAAATGTAATCATTTAACATAGGTCAATTGCCTAAAAAACTTAAATGGAGTGTGACAGTACTTGTAGAGAAGACCCGTTTCACTATAGAGGATATGGGGAGGATGGAGCCAGTATAGCAATAAATTTGAAAACAATTGCTGTCGATGTGAAAATACCTGAACCGTCTTACCCCTATTATGAGGAGAGGGTAAATGTGGAGTCAGTCATTGACAAAATCACTAATCCCTTAGCAGTCACGGATGAAGTATACTTTCCCATTTCTAGATTATCGCCATCACAGAGAGCTATCAGACCTTCAACCCACAAGTATCAGAATGGTAATACTACGGATCAGCGGCCTTCCATTACCCGAACCGCTCACCTTGTTGCGGCCTTTCATCGAGAGAATTTGCGTAAACATCGCAGAATAAGGCGTAGTCATCTAACGACCCCAAGTTCAAATGAAAATCGTTCTGAAGTGGATGACGAAAATGTGAATCAAAATGCCAATAGATGTGTTTATCGGACATATGTTCAAAAAAGGGTCCTTACCGATAAAAATGGTGCCACTCCTAAATTAGAAATTGCTGCATATAGACAAACAGATGATCTTTCTTTCCAACTTAATAGAATGTCACTTTTTGATAGCAAGGAAAACGCTATCTCCACTGTGAACTCAGATGAAAATATAACTGAGATGGAAGTTTGAAATATTGGTGACGATGTTCATTTATCTCAGGCATTCGAGATTTTGGTTTTACCTACCGGTAGGGATTGTAGAAATGTTATGATTTCGATTAGATGTATAGTGTCTACTTTTTGCTTCTTTAAAAAATATTTTGAATAAATTCCTTATGGTAAATAACACTTTTGGTCATTGTATTATCTTCGGTTGTTTGGTTGGAAAGCAGCTCAATCGGAGGGGGAGTAAAGGATTTATTATCTAATAAAGGAATAGCGGTCTAAACTTGGATTAAAATTGAAGTGATGCACGATTTCTACTTTGTTTGTTTTTACACCATGTACCCGGTATTAATAGATAATTCCATTTGCTAGATCATCGTTACCAACTACTCGAAAGGTATTTTCGACTTCACAAATTATTTCAGCAGGAGACATGATAAAGACGATACCTTTCAGCATTTTTTGAGAAAGCTAAGACAATTCCAGCTTCTAACCAATAAGGTGAAGGGAATTGATCACTGTTCATACGATTTTTGGGATTAATCCCAAATACATGCCTTTAATTAATATTGACATTGTAAAGCTTCCACACCACCTAATTTTGCAGATTTGAACTATTATCTTGGCAACAAAATTGAATGTTTTTTATATAACCCTTTTGACATCCTACTCATAAGTTCTCTTCCCTTTAAATTAATTAGGCATTAAAAATGCTTTTTAAATTTTATTTTACCAATTATCATAACCAATATAGGTGTAGAATAGTTTATCTTGTGTTGTCCCATCTGTCTCTGCGTCCTTGAAATATCGTCTTGGGGAAAAGGAGTTTAAATAAATAGCTTGCCAATTAATTTTCGTTTACTAATTTGAAATTCCCTTTAATGCTTTAATAGCATTAATTGTGTACTGCAATACCAAGATTGCGAGTTAATCTTTTCAAATGAGAGAACGTGTATTGAAAATTGTTTTGCAGGGTATTCGAGGTGTAGCGGATTGCTACCTTAGTAAAGCCCGACTGGCTCAGAAATCTCTGTGGCAGATTCCCCCACATCTATCTAGACTCCCAAAACCAGCTAAGCTATAGCCCAGATATGAAAGGAAAAGACATAGCACGGAGCACGTTTATTCAGGACGTATGTTGCGGATAAAGTGTGCACGCAGGAAGCTAAATCATGATCAGGATGGCGGATTAGGTTAAACTAACAGAGGTTAATGATTGGTCACTGTTTGTACGGTCGCTGCACACAGAGTTGTACGGCGCACCTCCCAATCCTGGCGTGTAGGCATGCGATGAGGTGTCCCACAGAGGTCACGATATAGTTAAAAGTAGGGACAGTTTTACTTAATTAGTGACCTAAGTGACTGTATGCTTGTCAGAATTGCACAATGGCCAGTTCCATTCAAATTATCCTTAAAAGCCCTTGCAATAAAATATTATGAGATTTTAATTGCCCAAAAGTTGAGGACAAACTATCAAAACTTATTAATTTAGAAAGCATCTGGTTTTTATTTCTGCAGTTTATTAGCTAATTACTGTCATTTGGTAATACCTTACGGTCGATTTGGCAAAAGATAATTAATTGAATTATAATTGAAGATCATTCGTAATTGGACAATCCCACCAGAAGAAGTGTCTTTTAATTACATATACCACTAACGCAAAGTTAATAATAATTCGTGGTTTAAACTAATCCCAAATGCAGACCTAAATTTAAAATAGTTTTTATTTTAAATAGTTGAGATTTGCTAACAATTTAAAAATTCATTCTTAAACTTGAATCAATCTATTTAGGAAATTGTCTGCTATTGGAAAAGACAAAAATAAATAGGTTTCAAGTTCAAATTTGCCAAATTCAGTGGGAATTATTAAAAAAGTAATCTCTCTATTCTTCACCCTCGTCAAAGTCCTATTGAATGTATTGAAAAGCTTCCTTATATTCAGAGGAGATGTGCGACTCCATTTTGGCAGTGCCATTGAGAATGTTCCTTTTCCTTGTTAATAAAAATTAGCATTATATCGCCGGTGGAGATAGATATTGTTCTTTCTACAGTTTACAAGCCGTTTCATCTTCTATCGACTTCAGATTCGATCAATCATGAGGAAAAGTTGGAAGAACTTGATGAAGCTATCGCAAATGTTTAAAGGTCTCAGTCAAATATCACGCAAAAAAAGCAGAATAGCCTGGATGTGGGAGCGTGAGAGCATCTCAAGTTTAATCACCATAACTATCCAAAGCTGAAAAAGGTATTTATTCAGTTAGGAATCAGCAAGAATCCGATAGGTCTGAAGAATTGGGGGGTCACAGTAGCAGACCCCAAGAGTTCATAAATATCCTAAAATGACACACAAATCAGGTACATTTAACCTTGATCAAATATTCTATGAAGGAGCCAGAACATTTATTTATTTATTTTAAATGGCAGGCGTTTTGATAGTTATCATCAGCCCCTTAGTTGACTTTGGGCTTCACAGAGAGGAGGAGGAACATCAGAGTGACAAAATGTCGAGGTGGGGGAAAAAATGATTCCCAGATGTAAAAGAGACAGACAGACTGACACAAAGTCAGAGAATTAGGTAAGATGAGTACTGTGGAAGTGGTGGAATATGGCATACAGTGGGGTGGTGGTAGTTTGAAGTGAGAAGTCAACTGCCAGTTAATAGGCTTTTTTGCTGTATGAGTATACGTTGCCCAGGGTGCACCAAGTGGAAGTTAGTCTATCTTACACCGCGGAGCTGGAACATTACTTTACAGAAAACGCGTGGTGATAAAATTTTCAAAAAGTTTTGATGAATTTAGGTGGGTTCGGTTTACTTAGAAGAATTCATTTTAGATTTAAGAATGGTTTAATACGTGGTGAACGTTCGAAAAAAATACCCTAAATTGTG